ATTAAATTATTATTAATAATTACCCTTCTTATGGTCATATGGTCTTCCCAAGGCTGCATGGTCCAGCTATCAAAGTTCGGTTTTGCTCTGAAAATGTTTACCCTTTGCTGTGTTTTATTAAGTGTGTAACACTGACTATTTGAAAGGCACTGTATGACATTCAAGCAAACCATAGATCTCATTATTTTTTTGAGTAAAAGAGTGAGTGAACAGATTTTTCTACTTCAGATCTGCTTTCCCCAATTTTTCTGTGACCTAAATCATAACAGAGCGTTTATCAGGTGATGCGCTATTATCTATCAGAACAAAAGCAGGCAAGGAAACCAAGCTGTTAGCATGGAGCTGTATGCTCCCACTTGTGATGTTGTCTCCCACTGAAGAGTCTTCCAAGGGCTTTGGGATGCCAGTGCCGCTGGCAGACATCTGTCATAGTGACAGGGAATCCTCTCCTGTAAGATCACCAGAAGAGTTGCATTGCTTCCAGAAATGAATCCATTAGGTCCTGTTAGTGATTAGTGTGAGTAACCATAATGACCAAAGGTACTCTGTGTAATTCAGCTGGAAGGGCCTCTGAGATGAAAGGTGTTAGATACCCCGTGGCCAAGATGCAGGGACCTTCTTAGTGGATGTAGCAGCAAATCTGGACACTGAATCTCACCTGCATGTGAGCAAATGCCACTGGGAAAACTTTCCCTTCCTTTCTATTGAAAACACGTTTGAAAACATCATTTTAATTGTTGAGGTGAAGGGAAATTTAGGATTAAATTCCTGATTTGTTTCAATTCACATTATTTAGATGTCCAAGATGTTTTGTTTGTAATTGTTATTGTGCTGATCTTATGCTTTAAGAGTCACTATACCTTACTACAGCGGGACTAGAAAATAAGACTTATGAGGAGCAGCTGAGGGAACAGGAAATTGCTCTGAGGCAGAGGGGAGGAGACCTTATTGTTGTTTACAACAGCCCGAGAGGAGGCTGCAGTGAAGAGGTGTTGGTCCTTTTCTCAGGTGGCAAAAATTAGGACATGATGAAATGGTTTCAAGCTATGCTAGGAGGTTTAGATCGGATTCCAGGAGCAACTTCTTCCTGGGTAAGGTAGTCAAGCATTGGAACAAGCTGCTCGGGAAAGTGATGGAATTTATTGATGGTACTGTAGGTCAGGTGGAGGGTTACACTTGATGATCTTGAAGGTTTTTTCCAACCTACGTGACTGTGACTGTATGATAAGCTATGTGATAAAGGGCCAACGTGACTGCAAAATGCGAGCTTATGGTTTGTGATTAGAAAAAGAACGCAACAAAAACACCTGCTTAACCTGTTAGCTAGATGTTGAATTAGGGCAATAGGACAGTTTCTAGAAATGCTTGTCACCCTCTTGGTGTGCCTGTAACGAAAAACAGCAATAATATCTCAGTCACTCCATGGAAACGAGCTTGGTTTCACAGCGAGGCAGCTGGGAAAGTAAGATTCTCTCCATTAAAGGAAGGCGGCGAATGAAATTCTATTGCTGTTGGTAATAAAGAATTTTTAAATGTTTGACAAATTTGTAAGCTAATCATGTAGCTGACTTGATGGTTGGCTTCCCTGAAACTTCTGTGGCAATTAGAAGAAGTTATTTTGTTTTTTATGCATTAAAAAAAAAACAACCTCAGATGAATTGAGATCCTCTTTACATCATCAAGACATCAAAGTGCCAGCTTCCTCACAGGTTGTTAAATACACTTATTTATAGACACTGCTCATTTTCTTTAGAGATCTGTTCTTCTTTGCAACTACGTGTAGTGTCTGCAATCCCTGTATTTCGCTCAGGCATTTCTTTTGTCAAAGAGGTTGAATAAAATGACACAAATCCTGCTGGGCAGCTGATACCATCAGAACATCAGCTGTTAAGAAGCTTCCCATGGTTTCAGCAAGCCTCATTTGTCAAGCAAAGTGATCAAAGTCCAATTTTGGAAATTCTTTTCATATCACTCAAGCTGATATACATCCCACTGCATTGCAAGGGTTTGCCTGAAATTAAAGTGAGGCTGGCTGTCTACTCAGTCTTCCCCAAACTGTTCATGTAATAGCCATATACTGCTAGAGCAAGGTTCATAGCTTTTTGACAGAAGGGCTTGTGAAGTCTGCATCTGACAACGGTGATGATAGTAACAGTATGACTAGAAAAGTACAGAAGAAAATAGTACTTAACATCAAATGGGCTTACATACATTGCAAGCAGTAAACAAAAGGGGAAATTAAAACTCTGTAATTACATGTTCACAACCAGTGATGTTTTCATGAAATGTAAACAAGTACATTTTCACACATGGAGGTAATGTACAAATGACTACAAAAAAAAGTAATAATTTAACAAAATGCTTGGGAAGTACTGGGTTTGGCAAAGATGTCTGTACAATTCAAACTCACAAATGGGGACAGTGCAGGTGGGAGAGAGTCTTGGAGGAGGTAGTAGTGAACACCCCACTACTGAGTGAAAAATTTTCAGGACTCTTTCTTTTCTGTGTTGCTCTTTCCACTGACAATATCTAAATTTACCTATTTTAATTGACTATTTTTGTCATTTAATTTTGAACTACATTTTTATTGGCAAATTTTAATTTGGAGATATGCAAAAAGGACAGCCATCTCTAGAAATGAACTATTTTACAGAAGTGGTATGTAGTAGACCAGAGTTTTGATGTATGTCCTCGGATGAGCCCCATTCCTGCGCAATACTTAATTTTAAAGAAAGCAAGCCTGTGTCAGTTTTGGTTGTGCCCATTGACCACATAACTGTATACACAGTAAGTCAATCAGATGTGCAGTGCATGGTGTTACTCCTCTGATAACCGCAGTCAAAGGAAAACTGGAATTTCACTGTGTGCTCCTGGCAAGCAGGGACAACCAAGCCCTTTATCACATTTGCTGAGGTAGTTGAATTAATGATCACTGAATATTTAATAAATACCACAGATATATTAAAGGTCCCTTCCAATTGTAAGGATTCTATGATTCTATGATACATAATATTCATGCTGCATTGATATCCCAGGCTGCACAGCCTGCTGTAACATTTTTCTAGCATTGAGGTGAGCTGATCAAGGAAGTGGTAGAGTCCCCATCCCTGCAGGTATTTAAGAAATATGTTGGACATGGCACTAAGGGACATGATTTTATGATGAGACTCAATGGGTCAGGTTGATGGTTGCACTGGATGGTGTTGAAGGTGTTTTCCAACTTAGATGACTTTGTGATCTATGACTCAGCCCACAGATGAGGACTGTGACAAAGGGGCATGTGGCTTTCCAGCCCCATACTTTCCTTCTCCTTGCCTGCCTTTCCTTGACAGGTCTTCTTGCTTTGTTCTGATGCAGTGTTGTAGTCTAGCTGAAAGGCGTCTCCCTTCAGTGAGAACAGTAAGTATTTAAAAGCTATCTAAATTTGATATACAGTTGTTCAAGGATAACTACTGGAGAGTGACAAAGAAGGACTACAAACATGGTGAAAGATCTAGAGGGGAAAACGTAATGGCAAAGGTCCCTTAGTTCGTTCAGCCTGGAAAAGAGGAAACTGAGGGGAGACCTCATGGCAGCCTATGGCGTCCTCACAGGGAAGCAGAAGGGCAGGTGATAATCTCCTCTCTCTGGTGATCAGTGATAGAACCCAAGGGGATGGCATGAAGCTGTGACAGGATAGATTCATACTGGATATCAGGAAAACGTTCTTCATGATAGGGTGGTCAGGCACTGGAACAAGATCCTCAGGGCAGTGGTCATGGTACTGAGCTTACCAGAGGTCAAGAAGCATCTGGACAACGCTCTCAGATGTATGGTCTAATTTTTGGGTGGTGCTGTGGAGAGCCAGGAGTTGGACTCAGTGACCCAACAGTGATCCAAGACCCAAGGGACATAGGTCCCTTCCAATTTGGGATATTCTATGATTCTATGAACTCCAATTTATTGTACTTTTATTAGCTTCTATCTGTATATATTGCTAATCTGTTGTCTCTTTCAAACCACCATTTATTTGGGAAATCCTTTAAAATATATGAGTTGAAGTTTCAAAAAATTTTTTTAGAATGATGATAGAATCACAGAATGACCTGGGTTGAAAAGAACCACAATGCTCATCCAGTTTCAAGCCCCCTGCTGTGTGCAGGGTCGCCAACTACCTGCCAGGCTGCCCAGAGCCACATCCAGCCTGGCCTTGAATGCCTCCAGGGATGGGGCATCCACAGCCTCCTTGGGCAACCTGTTCCAGTGCATCACCACCCTCTGTGTGAAAAACTTCCTCCTAATATCTACAGAATCACAGAATGGCCTGAAAAGGACCTTTTTGTTTGCTTGTTTCTCTCTAAAAAGAACATGTTTAGCACAACTTCTTTTCTATGTAACCTATGTCCACATTTCAAGAACTCGAACAGCCACCATAAGCCAGGTACTGTAATATCTGCTCTACACCAACATCTCTCTGAGCGCTGTTACACTGCATTGCTGGCTGCCCCTTCCTCCAGCACAATGATGGGAGGCCAAGGCCTAGGACAGGGCAGAGTAGGGACGGAAAGGTTACTTGAGATCCTCAGCCCTTGGGTGCTAAAAACGAGCAGCGTTTCAGATATTATTGAATTCTTAGATATTAGACGTGATATTACAGGACGAAATGCCGTCAGTCGGTTTCAGAACAGGGTGCCCGGTCCGTCAGGGCCCTGCCTCAGGGAGGACACACTGCCCTGCACAAAGATGGCCGCCCCGCTCCAAGATGGTCGCCCCTGCGGCATCCGCCTGACCTTTTGCCCTCACCTATGACGGCCACCAAGCTGCGGGCGACGTGCCCAAAACAAAGATGGCTGCCACAGCCGGGAAGCGGCGGAGAGGGTGCCTGCCCTTACCAAAAATGGCGGCGGGCGGAGGGGGGCGTGGCTTGTGCCCGGGGAGCCGGGCCCGGGGGTGGGGCGGGGGCGCGCCCGGCGCCGAACCGGAAGTGCCGCGCTGCCTCCTCCAGCTGGTTGTCATTTCGTGCGGCGGCTCGGTGCTGAGGAGACGGGGCTCGGCAGCGGCCGGGCGGGGAGGAAGGAGGCACCGGCTGCGGCACCGAGGCAGGAAACTGCGGCCGCTGGGGGGGGGAGGGAGGGGAAGGGAAGGAGAAAGGGGAAAACAGGAAAAAAAAAGAAAAAAAAAATAGAGGCGAAACGAGGCGGCGGAGGCTCCGCGCGGAGGACTCGACGCGGCCGGGCTTGCCGGCTACCGCAGCTTCTCCCGGTGGCACGCAGCCCTGCCCCCTCTCCCGGCGCTGTCTCCCGCGGAGCCTCCCCCTCCGTCGCCGCCCGGAGGCAGCGTCCCCGACCTCCCGCCCGGCCGCTGTACATGACGGGGAAGGCAGCCCGCCTGGAGCCGAGAGGACGCGCAGCACGGGAAGGACTGCGCCGAGGAACCGCCGCCGGACTCCGCGCCCCGGTTAGTCTGCCGGGCCTCCGTCCCGTCATCTCCGGGCGATTTGGGAAAACCGGTTAAACGCCTTCCATGGGGGAGAGAGGAGCCCGGCCCCCCGCCGCCTGCACCTTCCCCTCCCTGCCGGAGGCTGCTCCTCTCTTGAGGTAAAAAAAAAAAAAAAAAAAAAAAAAAAGAAAGAAAAAAAAGAAAGAAAAAGAAAAAACAGAAACAGAAAACAACCCCTCCCGCCTTTCCCGACAGACAGACGGACTCTCGCGGGGTGGGGGGATACCGCGGGGCACCGCAGCCGGGCCTGGGAGCGCAGCACCGCCCGCTGCTGCCGGCCGCGAGAAGAGCCGGCCCGGAGGGAGCCCACGGATCTGGGTGGAAGGAGCGAGCCCGGCACCGCGATCACCCTCCGGCAGCACAGACAGCGAGAAAACCTTCTTCCCTTTCCTCCTGCGCAGCTCGCTTGTCCCCTCCCTTCCCTTTTCCCGAACGCTGAATGCTGATTTCTGAGATGAAAATCCTCTCCGGGCACCCAGGGCTCGTCTGAAGGACACGGAGATATCGGATCGCAAATAAGAAGTGAGTCTGGCGATCTCAGAAACCCAACCCAAAAGGAGCAGTATCGATAATCCACCCTTCTGCTCAACTCACTCCCCACCCAGCACACACAGAATACTAATTTCCTGAGATAAGATCTTACCCCTTTAAACGACACACACGCGCACACACACATACGCAGTGTATATTATTTCTACACAGAATAGGTTAAACCCAGCAGCACAGTAAAAAGCCTCCTCTGCAACTCACCCCCCCTCCTCACCCCTCTGAGTGCTGAAATCCTGAGGTAAATTTTTTTTCTCTTATCCACAGCAAAGACTCTTTTTGAGCAGGACACAAATATATATTAGATTATAGAGATGTATTAAATTATTCCAGATTTAAATCTATTTTTTTGCTGCCAAGGGGTCGGGGGACCAGACGTCATTGTATATTTTTTTTGCTCTTAACTCATTTATGGGCAAGTCAAGGCTGCTGAGGAGGAAGAAAACAGGATAGTTAGAATCTCTTTATCCTTATTCCCCAGAAGCTTTTTCTGTCATTGCTGTGCATTTCCTTTAGGAAAGAAAGGAAACCTCTTATTTTGTGAACCAAAGATTTATTTTTCCCTTTCTCCTGGCTGAAGGGAGGAAGCGGACACCAATTTACGCATTTAAATAGTTGAAGAGATCTATCTTTTGCAAAAAAAAAAAAGAAAAAAAAGAAAAAAAAAAATCTATGATCCAAATCTGAGATAAATTTGCGTGGAGGGAGAAACTGGAATATCTTGCTAAAAACAGGCTACTTGCTAATCTCTCCTTAGAAGAGGAGGAGGTAAACACTAAACATCAACTTGTTCTAACAGGGAAGATTCAAACCCTAAGTATAATAAATGGGGGATTACGGGTTTGGAGTGTTAGTGCAAAACAACACTGGAAATAAGTCAGCTTTTCCAGTCAGATTTCATCCACATCTGCAGCCTCCACACCATCATCAAAATGCAACCCCCAGCCCTGCTGCTTTTATAAATAATAACACAGCTGCCAATGGCAGTAGTGCTGGGTCAGCTTGGCTCTTTCCTGCTCCAGCTGCCCATAATATTCAGGATGAGATTCTGGGGTCAGAAAAATCTAAAGCTCAGCAACAGGAAAAGCAAGAGTCCCTAGAAAAACAGCAACTTTCCCCCAGTCAAAGTCAGGAAGCAGGCATGCTCTCTGAGCCCGAGAAAGCTAAAACTGAAGAAAATCAGGGCGATAATTCTTCGGAGAACGGCAATGGAAAGGAGAAAATAAGAATAGAATCGCCGGTGTTAACAGGATTTGATTATCAAGAGGCTTCGGGGCTCGGTTCTTCGACACAGCCCTTGACATCCACCGCATCTTCTCTGACTGGTTTTAGTAACTGGTCTGCGGCGATAGCTCCTTCTTCTTCTACGATAATCAATGAAGATGCAAGTTTTTTTCACCAGGGAGGGGTCCCTGCTGCCTCAGCTAACAATGGTGCTCTGCTGTTTCAGAATTTTCCACATCACGTCAGCCCTGGCTTTGGTGGTAGCTTTTCCCCTCAAATTGGACCCCTCTCTCAACACCACCCTCATCACCCCCATTTTCAGCATCATCACAATCAGCATCAACAACAGAGGAGGTCTCCTGCAAGTCCTCACCCACCACCATTCACGCATAGAAATGCTGCTTTTAATCAGTTGCCTCATTTGGCTAATAATCTAAACAAGCCACCTTCTCCATGGAGCAGCTACCAAAGTCCATCGCCTACACCGTCTTCATGGAGCCCTGGGGGCGGTGGATATGGTGGGTGGGGTGGGTCCCAAGGTCGAGACCACCGCCGGGGACTGAACGGAGGGATAACGCCCCTGAACTCCATCTCGCCCTTAAAGAAGAATTTTGCCAGTAATCATATCCAGTTGCAGAAATATGCTCGACCCAGCTCAGCCTTTGCTCCAAAATCGTGGATGGAAGACAGCTTGAATAGAGCTGACAATATTTTTCCTTTTCAGGTGAGTATGTTCTATTATACCCATAAGGAAAATAACACATGACTGCATTAAAATGCTGCAGAGAGTGTGGAATGGGGGTTTGAATAATACACTCTGATTGTGTTACTTCTGTGTTTGCAGCTAAAAAAAGCCATACAGCTCACTTGAAATGCCACAGTGTGAATTACACTGAGCTGTGAATCATGGTGTTTGTTTTTTCAGTAGTGGTGATCATATAAATATCTATTTCCCAGCAAACATCTCCAATTAACCAGTTTCCATCAGCTTACTACTTACGTTAACAAGTAACTGCTGAACAAATCTACTTCTAAGCAGCACGTATATCCACTAAGAGGAGTAAGGAAAACAGTGCTGCCTAATGAGGTGTGAGAGATCTGGGGCCTTCTGAAATATTTGAAAACATAGTACATCTGAGAAAAGTATTAAGTTATTGTATTTTCCTTTAGAGAATCTCATGGGCTTGTAGTTCAGAGTAATTTTTGTGGTGTTTTTGGGGAAATAATCTTTTAACGTGATGATGATCAGCACATTTTGCTTCCTCAGCAATGGCAGCGAATTTTAGTTACAGGCCATTAAAGCTCATTACCCAGAATAGATCTGGATGAGGTCAGGTGGTGGTCTCCTATGTTTTCAGATGGTCTCATCTTGACAGCAGACAGGTTGTGTGACACTTCAGCCCCTCCTTCTAGGCTGACTTTTTATGGGTTTGAGATGAAGTGTATAATGTTGAGTCTAGCCTGCAGTAAAATCTAAAGCTCTTCATCTGACCACTCATCAAAGTTTGTTTATTTTTTTGCATGTGTGTGTGTCCACCTTTTGTGAAGTCTTTTTAAGTGGTTTCTGAAGACTATGATTTCTTTAATATGAAATGGGTTGCTTTTAAAGGCTTTCAAATGAGGGCAAAAGTGAGAATTCTGGAATGATTGCACTGTTGTTAGCCATGGTGTAAGAAGCAGGGTGACCTACTTTAAAATAATTTGAAAGATTCTAGATAAGAAGCAGTATGTCTCATGTTCCAAACCACCTGAGAGATATAAATATGTGTAATAATGACACTGTGGATTCAGACATAGCAGCATTCAGTTCTCCTTAGTGAACTGTTCAGTTTCTGTTTGGTTTGCAGGGCCAACCTATGCAGCCTTCAGACAACCAAGCAGCTGCTGGCAATAACTTTCCATTAGAGATCTTTCTGCTGCAGGGCTGGCTGGTTCAGTATCAGGTACAGTCCATGTAAATTTAGAATGCATGGTAGCACTTGATGTTAATATCAGAATTTGTAATTCATATAATGAACCTGTGTCCAGCAAACTGAATTTATACACTGAAGGCATTAGAAAAAGGGACACAGCTGGAGTCGGTCTTTTTTCAGCCTCACTGCAGCTCGACTTGGCTCACAGTGTAATTCATTCTTTACCCTGACACGTAGCTGATGCACAGAGTGACAGAATGAGATCAAGCGTGTCCTTGCTGCTGCGTGTAAGGCCCAAATGTATGTGCACCAATAGAAGCGTGCTTGTTTTGACATCAAGGAAATTTCAGCAAAGTGACAAAGTCAACCTTGACTTTCGGGTTGCGTTCCAACATAAAACACCCGACATGCTAATTTTGATCACAGTAAAGAAATAATTTTTGTGTGGCCTGTTGGTATCTGTTTACGTGAATGCTGAAATGAAGCTGTACATGTCAAGACCAAGTCTGACGCTTCTTCATGCCAAGAAAAGAAAAAGTGTTGGAGTGAAGTGCTTTCCAGTCTGTTACAATCGCTTCTGTGAAGAAAGGGGCTGGGCAGCAGAGCAGGACTTCATCACTGCAGGCCTAGAAAGATGCTGATTAATTCTGAAGCCATCTTCACAGAATCACAGAATGGCAGGGTTGGAAGGAACCTTAAGGATCATGAATCTCCAACCCCCTGCCACAGGCAGGGCCACCAACCTCCCCATTTAATGCTAGAGGAGGCTGCCCAGGGCCCCATCCAATCTGGCCTTGAACACCTCTAGGGATGTGGAATCCACAACGTTTCTGGGCAATGTGTTCCAGCACCTCACCACTTATAACTTTTTTTTGTGTGCAAAGTCTTCAGCTCCTTTGGTCACTTTGTGCTGTTTTGAATTTTTGAATCACTGGAAACAAATGATGTAAGATTTGACCTTTTTCTTTTTTTTTTTTTTTCTGGATTATTCTCATTGTGTGCCTGACTCAAAGCAGAAATAAGGAGTTTTGCTTATTGTATATTTGTGTTCATGCATATATACATTAATGTGAACTATCCTCAGTGATGCAATCATGTACTGGTCAAAGCTATTTTGTTACTGGAATCTTCTTGGATTCCTGTTTAGGAAATAATTGAAAGCTGTCTTTGCTGCAACAACATAATGGGGTAATTTGATACAACTAACCCTTTCATTCAATATTTATGTTTTGCTGCTTAAATCATTAACAAGTGTTGCTGCAGCCTAGTGAGAGTGAGTTTCTTTAGAAAGCAAGTTGTAAACCAGCAGTTGCTGATACTTGGGGATCTCTTATTTTTTTCCAAAGGTTGTCTTTTACTCCGAAGCTTGGGGAAGCACAGAGGTCTATGTTTAGATGCAAATCTTAGGGTAGCCAAGCATAAGTGCTAATTTCCAATTTGGAGAGGACGCCATGGCATAATGTCCCCAAAAGCCACCCATGTGAACTGCTGCTCACTTGAAAAACGTCTGACTTCTGTGTTGAAATAGGCGTCCCAAACAGCGCAGATGGAAGGAAAATCCCATGTTGATCTGCTTGATAATCTTACAGTTTGGTAGTAGCTTGCTTGGTATTTGAGAGTTACTACAAACCACCGTGTTGTTTGTTGTCTGTATTCTTTATTTGGAATTCTGCCTCGTCGCACTTCAGAAGTGGCACATCTCTAGGAACCTCGTGTTGCAGAGATGGAACTTGAAGCGAGGTCAGAGAAGACTACCACCAAATGTGTTAATGAAATGAAGTTTTGATATTGTGCTCTAACTGCTGGGCAGCCTTCCCCCTTCAAAGATCTTTTGAAAAGAGAAAAGCCATTGTTCTTTGTATGTTCATTTGAAAAGGAAATGGTGTCCAAATGAAAAAACGGTTCCTGAATAATAAAAAATAGTTGCATGTTTTTGGGCACAGCAGTTTTCCCTGGGAATTTATACATGAAAATGTCTTCAACTGTGACTGCTGCATCTTAACAAAGTCCTGATTTTTAAAATTATTCCTTCTATTTCCCTCCTCACAGCTCTCGCAAACTGAATGTTCAGTAATTGCATTTTGCTGCAGCATCGCCCTCAGGATTGTTTTGGCTTTCCTTTTGCTGTGTGCTTGCACTTCCTCATGAGAGTGGAACATCCTGCCTGTTACGCAATGCATAAATCTTGCTTTGATAGGCGCTTCCAGGTTTCCAGATCTCATCTTCCAGTGTGCGGGGATGTTTTTTAAGTTGGTCTTTGAAGGCAAGTTAAGCAGCAGCGTTCAACTTTCCATACAAAATAATTTAGAATAATTTGTGTTTCTTCCCGGAATCGAGCTTTACAATAACTGCTCATTTCAAAGAATTTCATGCTGGAGAGTACTTCATCATATCCACTTGTTCAAAACTGTTTTTTCCTTTCTTCTAAAGTGGCTGGTTTCCAGGTACATAACCCCTTCCAAATCCATCGAGGGGCTGTGCCAGAGGGACTTTCTCTTCCTTCAGGCTGATATGGAATGTTTGAGAAAACACATACGTGATTACAGACTGTGTTTTAATTCTGAGCTATACGTCATGGTTTGTTTGCCCATAGAAATGGGTTGATTTAAGAAGTGCGTTAAAACAAATGCCCAGGAATTTGGAATAAAAAAACCAAAACCCTCTTGAATACATTTGCCAATCCTTCTTCTTGAAGGAACTTTGCAAGTAAATTTCTTTACCATGCCTCTTTCATATTTGCTCTTTGTAGTTGAGGGGCCTTTCCATAAATCACGATGGCTGGTTGCATAAAATGAGGCTGCAGCTTTTGCAGAGCTTTGTCAGATTTTATTCTCCCTTGTAGCGGCGGCAACGATTCTGAGAGATTTCAATCTATCGTTTTAAATTAGGGTAAATATTCAAAGTTGAATTTTTAAATGTCAGTTCCCCCATTTTTCAACGAGACCATCAGCTGTGTAGTAATTAGTGTTTTGTGTGCTGTTCCCCACAGCTATTGGTTTGTGGAATTAGAAGCGCTCTAATGTGGTACGACAGGCACAAGTTAAGTACTGTGGAAGTTAACGCTGTTCTTGTTTTATAAACTTACTACTGACGTTAATACCTCGGCTTTGGCCCTCCTGTGCGTTTTTGACCTCAGGGTTTCTTTTTAAAGGAGCTTTTGATAGAAGCTATTTGAATTATGTTTGTATTTTCCAAAGATTAAAAGGAGTGCTCTTATTAAGCGCTTTGCTTTGAAAATGAATTGCGTACTTAGCAGCCCAGCACAAAGGCTGAGAACACAAGATACTGTGGATTATATTTTATAGAAGGCACATTAAAAGACTTAATATATGGCTAACATAGAGTCAGACGTTACTGGAAGTTTTTATGAGGGTCTATGATTTTTAATGGTTAAATCGGCTTTGACAAAACCACAAGTGCTCCCTCCTCAAAACACTCCTCTTTGGCGTCACTTCTTCAGCATTTTCCTATGGTTCCCTGGTGAAGCTATAAAGGATGAGCAGGGCAGCACACAGCAACATCCTTTCAGGAAAAACCTGTTTATTCAAAGCCTGTAATTCGCTGCCTTCTGGATGGGGAGCTGGAATACAGCATTTGCAGGGTGCTGGGAAGGAGGAGAAGCCTATCCAAGAGTATAATCAAGTCCAAATTTGCTTTGCAATTAATAGAGAAATGTGGAACCTGTATGAGTACCTATAATTTACCTCTCCCCACGCATCTTACTTTGCCTCAGACATCAGGCTTTTTAATTGTGGGAAATAGGTGCGAGGTTTCAGAAAGTTTTAAGCTTCCTGTGCTATAATGAGGGTTGCAAATGTAGTTGTGAATTTTCTAATTTCTGCGAGTATTCTGGTTTCACAAAGCTTTAAATAAAATGAAGCCTCAGCTTTGTAGCTGAGCCTACTTCATGAATCCTGCTAAGTCACCTTCAGTAAATTGCTTAATTCAGTGCCAGGTTTTCCACTGTTATTGATTTCTCAGTCTTCAGAGAAATTGTAATTCATAAAATCAGGTACAGCCTTGGCTATCAGCAGGAGCTCATAACTTGCCGTGCTTTACCTGTTGGACACTTAGGGGTCTTAGCGTTGGCAGGCTCATCCTGGGAAGTGCTGAACGGAAACTCTCATCTTCAGTCTGAATTGCTCAGGAGATCAGAGCACTGTGGTGCAGATTAATTGTAATGGGTCTGCGCTTTACTAGTAAAGTTAGACTTACATTTTTTGATCTGTAAGGGAGGTTAGGTATGGGATTTGTGAGTGCCAAGCGTGATCTTTTTGTGCATCAAACATTCACATTTAATTTCTTTTGTGTCAGAGCGTATCCTGTCCGTTTGTACGTGCTTGGTACCGCTGTCATTTTTTATTTTTATTTTTATGAGTGAAATGTCTTTGGACTTGGAAAAATGAAAATGGAATAGGAGTGAAATAATGGAGAAACCACTGTAGTCACAGAGACAAAGGATGACACACGGCGAAGTTGTGACTTGGAAGTGCTGGGTTCAACTGCCTGTGCTTTAGCAATGAGACTTAGTGTGAGCACTCTACTACTTATGAATGCTTTCTAGACAGTAGGAGAAGTAGGATCCTTTTTATTTTTCTGCAGATATAGTTGGCCAGGATTTAGTTCAAAACTGTTGTTTGCTGCTGTTGAATGCTGATAGTCCCAGTGGCTCCCAGCCTGACCTGCTAGCTGTCAGCTCATCTGTATTTTGTGAAAACAATGCCATTTTCTCAAAATGATGTTTAACAAATATCTTTACAAATGTTGGATGACATTTAAAGTACAGTCATATATTAAGACTTCAGGTTGCGTGGTTTGTTTTTTTTTTCATGGTCTTGTGTTCAGTCTGGTCACTCTACTTTTCAGATTTCCCAGGGGTAAACACCATGCCCTTGGAGTCCTCTGAGAAAACAGAATTTTAGATGCACTAAACCAAAGCTGTATAAAGCCAAGTTCTTTTGATCAATCTATGTAACTAATACCGGGTTGTAGTTAACTTCCTTTACCAGTGAAGTGTATATTCTCTGCTTGATTCCAGGGTAGTCGTTACCTGTATATAAATAAGTAAATAAGAATACAGTAAGCAGTCCAGCTCCATGGAAAGCACTGTGACTTTGTGAATCGACCCATTAAAAGCACCACTGTGTTGTTATTAATTCTTGTTACGTGAAGCTTCTTAAGAAAACTTCACTTTTCCCTACTGAGTACAGTGTGACTTAAGTGCTTTGCAGCTTGTAGTTAGAATTGCTCTTTCCCATGCTTCATTTCCAGCCTATGATCAGTGTCTCAGTTGTGACAATTTTTTGATGTTTCAGAGTTAAATACATAGTCACACATTTATTTGGCAGTAAAGCCACTACCACTAACCTGTCTTCAGTTTGAATTTCCCGATATATTAGATAAACTATGTATGCAAATTGTGCATATAATCCAGATGTAATATCTGTTCCTGATAGAATCATGGAGTGGCAGAGTTCATGCTATGATATTCAAAGAAGTCTCCCTTCAGGAGTACAGCCAACACCATGTAGCACTTGCAGTGGTTCTCATTGCTCAAACTCTCTGTTCTCAGCATTGAGCAGTGTTGACCCATTGCAGAGGGTCCCTCTGTTACTGTAGCTCAATCCAACCTAACAGGTTAGAGACAAGAGGCTTTCTTAGTGCAGCACATGAGAAGTTGCTCAACTTTGTTTTTCCCTTCATCTCAGCCAACTGAAATGTTAAGTGCCACAAGTTTAATGGACCTGAAACTACTGGGGTTCTGCTCTCTGTGAGGTAAGAGTTGTAGAACTGTTATTGGCTTGGAGCAGAGGTTCATCCCATACACGGAGACACAATGCAGTGCAAAAGCTGGAATGGAAAAAATGAGCACCATCAGAACAATACAGAGTTTTCAGAAAGTGCTTCTATCTGTAGCTTAGGCTGTTTGTGTCACTTTAGGAACACGGCTGGAAATGTAGAGACTGTCTTCCAGTACCCATCCCTGAGCAGTTGGATCCCAGTGGGTTCAGGATGCAGACCCAGGAACTTTTACTCAATCTTCATAAGTTATTTTAGTGCAATTGAAGTTTGAAATAGGTAGGAACTAGTAATGTATGAACTAAACCAAAGAACTAAACATTACTACCAAAGGAAGAAACCAGCTGGAAGCGTGAAACTAAAAAATCCAAATGCCTGTAATGCTTCCTCTAAGGTACATCAATGAGCAAGGAAGTAAGTACTGCGGAGAGAGAGGGCAGTGCTATGCTTTACATAGCAAAATTGATTTGGGGCTAGACTAATGCAACACCCGGTTCCTAACTGGTCTCTCTAATGCTATTTGGAATGCAGTGGAGTGGAAATATTTCACCGGTTCTGCGTCGGTAATCGACTGTTCTGAGGAAATGAAGAAAATCTAGTTGGAAAACAGAATTTTTTTTAGCAGTGGGAATGTAACTTCCTTGGAAGTGGATCAGGACTCTAAGAGCTAATGGATTCCTGCTCTTAACGTGGTATTAAGCGTTTCAAGTCCAAGATGACTGATTGTTGTCTGATAGAAAAATGGCTCTCGCAGCGCTGTCGGTAACTGCTTCAGCACTTCATTACTGGAAGTAGGGGACGTTGTGGCATTCTGTTCTGCACCACAGGTGCAGTGTCCTTTTGAATTCACTCATTTTGGTGTGATCAATTCTGGGTCTGTTTGCACTGAAGAAATTTCAGCTTTGCAGCAGCTGGAATTAGGGAGAAAAAATAAATTTTCACTGCATTAATTGTAGAAAAGCAGATCAGACCCAATGTGCATTGAATTACCTTCTTATTTGAATGGATACCTTCCGTGGTTGATCTGTGTTCAGAGATGAATCCCTTAAAACATGGATGAAATAAAACCTCTAGAACTGATGTTAGAGTTACTAGACTCAGAAAAACTAAATGTGAGGTTGATTTGTATGTGAAATGGGTAATGGAGTGGTGAATGATTTTTGGGGAGGAGATTTTTTGCTTCTATTAGTGACCTTTTATCATACTGTAAAAATTTCAAAGTTTGGCTGACCTGAATTTGAAAATGAAAATAATGCAGTGGCAGGATATTTTTTGTTGTCTTCTGTTAGTATAGCACCAGATTTGCAAGACGTGGAATTTGTTGTCTTAGCTGGGGAAGTCTGAGGCATATCTGTGTTAAATGGTGGCTTTGGTTTGTGAAGTATGCTTCAGTTGGGTTGATATAATGAAATGGTAAGGTGCAAGAGACACCTTGCCTCATGCTTTCTGAATCCTTCAATTTTAGTAGTGCTTGGAGTATTGAACTTGTGATTTTGGGGACTGTAAAAATAGAGCTAAACTTCTCAGCTAGTAAACCAGACTGCAGCAGCGCTGCTACCTGTGTGAAATGCTTTATAATTGTGCAGAATCAGCACTGATTATGCAGAATTAGGCTGTTTATCAGGGTAGTAATTTAGGTGAGAGGAATTCTGTGTCACTCCATGAATTCAAATTTTTTTAGCTCAGGCTGCAATACCTGTTTTATGACTTCTCTTTGCCATTCTGTCTCCTGGGAGCTGATCTTTACTTCCTGACTGTGAACTCAAATTGTTTTCAACATAGTTTATCTCTATAGCAAGGAACACAAACTAAATATTGGAGTTCTTAAACAAATGATTGGTTATTATATATCAGACTCATATTCTCTGTATTTGTATTCTAATACATTGTTCTCTGTATTAGACTGACTTTAGTGGTGTATAAGCCCGTGCTGTAGAATAAAACAAGATTTTATGTTACAGGTGGCTTTTTTTTTTTTAACACTATGTTGCCTAATCTGTCTTTGTATTTGCTTGCAGGATCGCACAAGGACTTTTGACATGCATTCACTGGAGAATTCGTTGATTGACATAATGAGAGCCGAAAATGATTCACTGAAAGGTAAATTTAGAAGGAGTCTGTTTCCCGCAGTAAATAATTGGGAAGATGTGCTTGCTTAGGATAAAAAGCTGCAGTTTTGGTTAGGAAAAAGTAAAGTTCTGTTGTGCACCCTGGTGCATGTAGGTCAGCTCGGGTAGGCCTGCTGTTTCGGCTGTCCCTTGATGAAGCTGCTGCAGCACGTGGATGCTGGAGTGTGTTTTGTCTTAGCATAAAACAATGCGAAACACAAACATAAACCAATCTTTTGTGTATGTTGACAGTGTTGTTTTTAATAGATACGATGTGTGCAGCCTGTAGAAATGATCAGCTTACAAATCTTAAGCAGACTGGTGAAACATAGCTATCGGCTCTATAGTGTTTTCGTGCTTGAAGTCATAGCTCCTTCAGTCCTGAGGAAGAATGACTTTTAGGTGTGTCACTGGGAGAACAGAGTATTTCTGATTTTTTATTTTACTTTAAAAAGCTCTTTACCTTTCTATTTTTCTCTTTATTTTTGTCACCTTAATTGCAGAATTTTTTTACATTGGGAAAAAGGAAGGGGGGCAGGTTGAACCAACTTGCAGTTTAACTATTTTTATGTTTCTATTTTTGGCAAACATAATCTTTCTTTGAAATGACAACTGACAAAGTACTCAAAACATTGTCTACGCACTTGATTGAAGCCTGTTTAGAAACTGCTTATGGGATGGATTCGGAAATGTAGTTTCTTATTCTGTACAATGAGTAATCTGTGTCAGTTTGAGGGTTAATCATGTAAGTGAAAGTAGGCAATCTTTTATTTATGCTCATTATCCAAGAATTCAGTTTTGTAACCAGTCATGAGACCACTAAGAAACAAAGCTAGACTTGTGGTTTCTAAAAGTAAGTTTCTCTGGATATCAAGGCTTGTGGTGTTAATGAAATATGACTTGTTTTAGTGGTGATTCTTTCTCAGACGACCAAGCACTGATTAATTGGCACTAGCTTGTTTCTTGCATTCTCCATAGTCTGATGATGAGAAACACCAAGAAATACACTTTCCTATTGAAATGACAAGGGGAGCTTGGTGTGGATATAAACTAATAACAAATAGATTCACAGAAAATAAAAATAAATTCCCGCCTTATGTGTTGGGAGCAGGCTTTCATTAATTACAAATAGTAACAGCTTTTGTTTGTTTAGTATGCAGTCTGTTAAATGGCATCATCATGTGCCCCAGCACTGTGTACTGAACCAAGATTAGGGTGCTCTTTCTTGACAGCAGCACCTGGGATTTGCTCTGAGACCTTATCTTCATAGGCAGGCCGAACCCAAGTTTTAGCTGCTCAGATCTGGCAACACAGCAACACAAAGTGACATAGCTGTAGGAAAATAGAATTTCTGTTAAAAATTGAATTAATAAAGTCAGATTGATATGTATTTATATTCAGCAACTAGATATGTTCTAGATAAGTTCTACTCTACAGAACTAGTTGTTCTGTAGAGTAGTGTGTTCGAATGCTTTGAAAGGATTCTTTGCAACTGTAATCTTTGGGTGTTTTTTGAGTTCTTTTCATGCTTAAGAATGATGGAATAAGCGTGTCAGCGAAGAACACACATAGTTCTGATACATGTTTATTCCTGCTTGAAATTGTTAATCTCCTTTGCAGTGTCATCTGTGTTTTGTGTTGAGTTTTGTAGGCATTGCATCGTGCTGATCAGAACAGAGTGGTATCAGTCTGATTGTTCTGGATGTTTCTTCCTGAGTTCTTTATACATTTTTATGTTTCATAATTGATAGGTGTAAAGCATAAGAAAAAAAAAGCCTCAGAATGAAGAAGAAAATTCAAGTATTCCCATGTGAAATACTTGGTTGTTGTGAAGTCTCTTCATTTTTTTCAAGGATTTCCACAGCACAAGTGTTAACCTTGCTAGTACTCAAACATGCAGAATGCAGAACTTGGCGGCTGCTTATCTGCTGCAGCAGACCTGATACAGAAATGAAATTGCTGTAATACACTTAGAAATGGATCTTTATTCAAACTAGGATCTCCCATGGTGTGGTAATGCTGTAGTGATCATCTGTAAGCAGGGTGGGATTTCTAAGCAGAAGAAATACCTTTAGCTAAATCAAGTGTTAGAACTGGAAGAAAATTGCACCTTGCCAGTGCAAAGTGCATTTCAGCTCTGAAGAAGGGTTCACATGTTTGGTTTTTTTTTCCCATCTGTTGGTGAGATTGTCTTAACACAGGTTCTGTTTTATTTTTCTTGCGTTTATTTAAACTGATTGAAAGGAATTTAAGAGCTTCGGACCTGCAATTCCCAAAATATTGTGAATTAGGGTTGTCAGTTCAAAATCTCGCACTCCATTTCAAGTACCTGCAGTTAGATTATCAGTTCCATAGGAAGGTTTTCATTTTTTGTTTTAAATGACCTAATTTGTGCATGCTTTTAAACTGAGGTTGGATACTCTCAAAAGGGAAAAGCTTCTGGGTTTGAGACTTTAAAAATAGCCTGGACAAGACACTAATAACACATGCTGCAGAGAGCAATCTCAGAATGGCATGGAAATAATTTAGATGATCTAATAGGTCTCTCCGCTATCTTCCAAGTCCTTGAGAGGCTGTAATGCTGACTTAATGTGAGTTTAGTACATAGCACTAACGCCGGCCTCTTATATATATTGTGGTGGAGTTCCAGAGAGAGAAAATGTTAAAATATACCTTCACAACAAGAGTATGGACAAGACAGGAGATACCAATCAGTTTGGAACCCGCTGGCTTTTGGGATTTTAAAGAAATCCTTTCTATCTCTAAAAGCTGTGTTCAAAGCATCAGGTTTTGGATCCTGCAAAATGAATAAACAGGAATTCTTCAAAATTTATCCAAGTCCATTCGCAGTGCCTGCTTCTTGACTGAGGTGTTGCTTTCAGTTTGTTTAGGAGCCTTATAGTCATCTTACTGCGTTGTCTCACTATACAAAGTAGTGTCTGCTGTGTGAAGTTCAAAGGTGAATCTTAACTAGCACTGATTACTATATTCAGCCTTCCCACTTAGCACTTCTGATAGGCCTTTTACTGTTTCTTTTCCTCATTCTGATGTATATTTTTTACTCCTGTTGAATCCTCTTCCTTTGCAGAGCAGCTGCCATTTCAATATGTTATTTTTATCCGCACAAGTGAGTGTGCTGCATTCTGCACAGCCAGTGACAATCTGCAGAAGCCTTTCCCTGGAGACTAATTGCATCTCCTCCGCTGTGCATTCGGCCTTCGTGTGCTGAGCCTGGGATCCGGAGCCTCATTTTTTGAATCTGGCTCTTCCAGATGGCAATTTGAGCATTACTGTAATAGTAGTAGGTTGACTAAATATTTCCTTGTTAAGTGACACTGAAATGTCTTTAAATACTTTAGGGCAGCAGACTGCTTTATTTCTGAAATACCCTATGGTTCAGCTTAGGGGTGGAAGGGTTTTTGCCTGCAAATTGCGCAGGCTGAAATTAAAGCAGACCAGCACATCTGCTTATGGCACTGCGAAGCTCTCCAAAATTTGGGTGTGAATAGTTCATTATCTGTATGAATGCTGCACGGTAAAAAAAAACAAACATAAGTATGCACAAAAAGAAGTGTTTCAGAGATAGGGCAAGGTCAGTCTGCATGCAGACAGCAGCAGAGCGAGCCAGCCAGCAGCTCTGCATTTTAGAGGTGCCAGAATGATGAGAACTGACACCATTTGGGGTTTTTCTGACTGAGCTGATATAAACCCAATTGTATATTCAAAGAAGTCATCAGCACCTTAATACTGATCTGAAAAATTATTTCAGCTGTAAAGAAAGTAGGTGGGGATTCCACAGTGAATCTTAAAAAAGTGTTCTTTGATCAGAAGGAGGAAAATTGTTTTGACAGCATTTTTTGAGTGCTGAAGAAGATGAACTAGATGTTTTTTTTTTCTAGCTGTATGGATTATGCAACATGTTCATGTTGAGTAAAATGGGCCATTTCCTTTCCTGTATGAACCAGAATATTAGTGAGAATATGGCCCAATTTTTTGCTAAGAGCTCAATAAGAGAGGCTGTGATTCTTTGTAGACAAGTGGGCCTTTATGTTTGCATAGACAAACTGAGCTTTAACTGAGGTTTAGAATCTAAAATAATAGATTGGGTTTTTTTTAAACATCTTTGAGTTTTCATAGCAATGAGTAAAGCTTTAATTTGGTGGCTGAGATGAAACTTTCTTCCCTCTTGTTGCTGTGGGCAGTTACACAATCAGGAGCTATCTGGAACTGGATGATGTTAAGGTCCCTTCCAACCCAAACCGTTCTCTTTATTGAGCCCTGAAAGTCAGAGGCTCTGGAAGAGTGTGAATCTGCAGCCCAATACTGCAGGTGTCCTCATGGGCTCTGTGAGTGTCCTGTCCAGGGCAGATGTTGTGGTCTCCCCTCAGGCTGCAGAGCAGCACCAGCCCTTGTGTGCCTGCTGTCTTTATCGAAGGATCATTCACTTGCAACATTGATGTGCCCAACTTACTGTAAATTGTGCAAAAACTTCCTCCCTACTGCTTCTGGCACCAGCAGGGCTTGCTGTAATGGTCTTTAGGACTTGGATATTGGCTTTTTTTTGTGTGGGATCTTCCTGAATTTCACCTCCTACGCTGTAACCAGGAAAAGCTGACAGCACTTTCAGACTGAGGTGCATATTAATTAAGGGTAAAACCATTTGTGATGTCTCAAGGTAGTTCTGAACTGGATCTAATAGCAACAACCCACACCCTGTGCTGACAGAGCTGTGGTGGGGAAACAGTCAGTGTGGTTGTTTGCCATCAGCAGCTCCTGTTGCTGTTCTAGCCACACTTCTCAGCTGGCTTAGAACAGAAGTGCTATAAGTACATAAGGGCATGCTTTATGTATATATCTGATGTTCATAATTTTGGGGCAATATTCAATATTTTAACTTTTTAGTCTGTTGCTCTACTTTTCCATCAGCTCCTCTCACATGTTGGTTGAAACACTTTGCTGAGCTGTTCAGAGTGCACCAAAGCTCTCACCTAG